AACAAATGTAATAATAAATTATTAAAATATCAAAATATTTTTTTTTTCAATCCTATTTTTTATGTCCGATTAATTTAACGTGGAATAAGTCGTCAAATTTTATGATACAAAACAAGTAACTATACAGCTTTGAAGGCAAAAAACATAAAACTTGTAAGGGGAACAGGATATACGTAAAATGCAAACACAGAGTAAAATAATGATAAGCGTACCTTTATCCTGGATACAGCTTCTTCTGCCTGACACATACGAGTAGATTTGGTGGGCTCTCCTTCACAGACAAGCTGAGTAGATCCGAGGTATCTCGCTCGGAACAAAACTCCCTCGATCAAAACTGAAGAGTCATCGAGAAGAACTGAAATATCGACAGAAACGCACCATTTAGACTTCTCGCTTGACTGGTTGTCACTCAAGCAACCGAATGCTGAGATATAGTTGAACGGTGATTGAAGAATTCTAATCGAAGGTACATGAATGGAAACGGGCGTAATTTTCGTCGGAAAATCGTTATTTTTTGGAATGTTATTCAACATGATATCCATATCTCTTGTCAAACAACTATTTTTTCAAAATCTCTATTTCTTCATTTTTTATAATTAATTGCTAAAACAGTTACATGTCTGTTTTAGAGTAAAAAAATAATGTTAACGTTGTCCTTTGTTTCAAATACGATGATTAGTGTACAATAGGTGGTCTACGTTGACTGAAACTAATTTCTTCATAGTTCGTTATCTTCTTACGTTGGTAAACATGAGACTTGTTTAATTCTTCTTCTTCTTATTTTAGAAATTAATATTTCTATATAAAAACTAACTATAACTTTCACCGATACATAGTTGATGTAGTTTTTTTCTTTTTGAGATTTTTATTCTTGAGAAATTCTGTTCACAGTAATTGCTTCTTATACATCCTTGCTTATTGTTTATCGGATTTAAATAAATAATACGAGACTATTTTAACGATGAACAAATTTAAAAAATTCAATTATTTCCAATAAATGAAACGATTTTAATTTTTATAGACACTGCACAGACAGCCGTTCGAAGAATACTGATCAACATCGATAAATGTGTTCAAATAATAAAGAGAGACCACGTGTTTATCACCAAATATACTGGATGTATCTTATCAAACTGTTCGAATCCTGACTATTTGATTAATAAAACAATGTAAACACCTTTTTGAAGAGATACGGATTCACGCTTTACAAAAGTGCAACAATAATGATGCTTATTAACCAGTCAAGTGCATTATCCATCATTTTTTGTATGTATAGTGTACAAGATTCAGAATAATAATGTTGTCTAAGTTTTAAATTAATTTTTGCTAAAAAGTTGCTATATCTTTTATGCATTCACTGTATCAAATGTGAATTTTGTCAAGCTTAGGTATAATGCAGTTTTCAAAAAAATATTTTACCCGCATATTTTTTTAGTTAAAAAATTTGTGTGTTTTGAAAACTATTGGGTTTATAAAAATGGTCGACATGTACAAAACGAGTGTTTTTTAATAAAAACTCTGCTTATGTAAATAGTTTCCAAAGATATCTATTTGTTTAAATAATATATTAAAAATTAACACTTTACTGTTTAGAGATTAACTGACTGGTTAAGTTTGCATGTTTAAAGCATAACAATGGCTGTAATACAATCTACTTGAAAATTACCTACCCAATATATCCAACATGAATGCAGCAAATGAAAGACAAAATTTACACAATTATTAGTATGGTATTATTAAATTAAATATGATATTCAGTTTTAAGTCCATGAAAGTATTTTCAAACACAGCTAATTTTAACATATGTATTGATAAATTTCTCTTTAATTTTATTTTTGAAGTCATTTTAACAGTACACTTTTCAAAATACACATTGAAATTTAAGATGAACAATATTTATCATGTAAGAGATTTATTCTTGATTTTCTATGCAGGTCACAAAATAACTAGAAATGTTAGTTACTTTTTTGATTATTGAATATATTTGAAAATGAGAGAACACTTTCAACTGTTTCTAACTATATATTACTTTTTCTTCACAAAACTTTAAAAAAAAATTGTACATTCAAGTAATGGTATTTTTAAACTACCATGATTTCATTTCTAATCTCAAAGATACTTTGCAATAGATAGTAATATGTAATAATCCTTATTGATTATTATAAATTATATCATTTACTAAAAGTAGTATAAGACATTGTTGAAAGACAGTAATGTGTAGAGAAGTAATTTATATTTTGCTTGTACTCACAAAGAGAATATAAAAATATTTTTCATTACCTTCTTTATTTCTGCTTTTCTTTTTCTCTTCTTTTTCCTGCAAAAACATAAAATTCATAATTTAGTCTGCATAATAAGATAAGTTAAAATTTATCGTACGATTATGTGCTTTTCGCAAATTGCATGTATGTATATCTCGCACGACCTATAGAAGCTTTATTCATGCAATAACTTTACAAATCTAATAGTTCCAATAAATAATATCTTTCAAAAAATTAACACAAATTAAGCAGATTTTTCTTTTATTGCAGAATATTATACAAGCTTTTTAGAACTGCTATTTTTTTTTATCGACTGAAATTGCAAAATTATATTTTTTAAAAGAATTTACATATCTAAGAAATAAAAAAAAAGTACAAAAAATTATTTCATGCAGAGTACAGAATGCACTTCTAATAATTCTTTGATCAGTTTTCTGTATGTAAATTATCACAAGTTTTGTGTGATGTTTAACACATATCTCTTTGTTTACAAGACAATTATATTAAATTAATTGTTAATATGCCAAATGTATTATTTATTCGATATTTGTAAAACGTTATTTTTAGATACTTCTTTTTGACATTATACGATATATTATTTTAACATCATCTGAAAAATTAGTTAACATTATATTAATTACAGTGTATTATGTTTGTATCCACTTTCTTCATATACAACATTGTATTTTCGTGCTATCATTGTTAAATTAGTAATGCTATCACGCAATGTGTGCATTTTCAATTTAACAAATTATAAATACAAACATAACAAAGTATTTTTAAACAATCTTTATTATTGTATACCGCAGAAGAAAGAAATTTAGTATGTATTTGTATGTGTTGTAGTACATAATTATCGATTAACAATTTGTATCAATACAGTTAATAAGTATTGTTAGATTACATTAATGTTATATTGTATGCAGTTTATCAAGCGAAGAGGAAGAGGAGGCGGGAATCATGCATAATGGTTTCTATAATATCGGAAGTAAGCAAATGATGCTATTGATTAACAAGATTGAAGTAAGCTTCTAGCATGATGCCATCGCAATTAGTTACCCTAAAATTCTAAATTTTCCGAATTTAACCAGAACGTAATAAAAAACTAAAAACAATAATAACAAACAAACGAATAAACGAAATACAGAAATTTTGAAAAGAAGCGAAGAATATTTTCGGAAAATTTGTTCCATCAATATTGTGCTCGTTTATTTATTTAAATATTGCAAACAATAACACTATGTATAAACGTTTAATTCTACGGAACAAGGACGTGGAAACAAATACGAATAAATTAAGTACAATATTTCTTCGAATATATCCTCCGATTTATTTCTGAAAAGAAAAAAAGAAAACTATAAAAAATTATTCAGAAACTGCAAATTAATTACTTTTCATAGCTCTAAGATATTATTTAACATAAAATACGCAATGCACGTGACATTTTCTAAGGAACATAAATTTCATATAATTTTTTTTTTAATTTGATAACTTTTCAGATCTTTCCAGTAAGTTAGTAACTAGAGTAGCTGAACGGAAGAGGGAGTAGTAGCAGCAGCAGCAGCAATACTAGACGTAGTAGCAGAAAAGAAGGTAAAAAAAAAAAGAAAAAGAACAAGACAGGTTAATGTAATGTAATTGAAAGGGCACCTTTTTCACCTTGTTGCTGGATTCCTTGAGACTCTGAGGGGACGAGGGAGAATTTTTTGCTGGAGTCTTCTGTGGACTCGTCGTGGTTTGCGTGGGAGTGGTAACATCACGATCGGAAGGCGGTGGTTGTATAACGGAAACTACCGGAGGAGGCGAGATGGAGGCAGAAGCGGAAGTGGATACACAGGCGGAGGTTGAAGCTAAAGGTTCCGAAGGTGATAGCGGGGTTTCTACCGGAGCAACACTCAGGCTTTTTGGGGGAGTTTGCTTAGGAGTTGACAGTTTTCCACTCATCGGTGGTAACATTGTCCTAGTCTTAGGCTTCCTCCACCCCTATGTAACACCAATTATATTTGTCATGTTAGTCTGCTTACCGATAAAGTACTCTCACTCAAGTCGTGCATTACCCAGAGCATTTTTATACAAATTCGTCATTTGTTTTTTTATCTTAATCCTTTATTTAGTTTAACCTATTTCGATAGATTAATTCTTGCCATTGTTGTGTGCAATGCACAAGTGATTTTTCTTCGAAGAATAAATATGCAAACGATGTTAAAAACAATGTAAGATAGGAAAGTATAAAGTAAAGCAGTTTCTGTATCGTTTGAAAATGTCACTTATGAAAGTGAGATTTT